AGTGAATATGAAAAGCCAGGGGAGACAAACTCCTGAATGAGCATAAGTTGAAGGGAGAAGAACAGAGACGGAGAAGAAGAGGAAAACAGGAAGGATGTTGGAATTGAACACATGTCTTCCCTGGAGACTTATACCCTTAGGGAATACTATGATCACTGCTGTGTGTGTGTGTGTGTGTGTGTGTGTGTGTGTGTGTGTGTGTGTGTGTGTGTGTGTGTGTGTGTGTGCGTGTGTGTGTGTGTGTGTGTGTCACAGTAGGTGGTGTCTGTATGAACTATCACACAGTTTATTTATGATGGCACCCTGCTGACAGAGACAGAGAACAACCCAAGTTGTACTCTTCCACCACCATACAGTCACTCACTTTTCACTGTCTTGGATAAAGTGTGTATGTTTCCATACTGTAAACACACAATACTTTGACCAATAGCTCCAAGTAAGGCCTTCATGTTCACACGACAATTATTCCTCAAAATGAAATTTAAAAATAGTAAAACAAAACTCTGAATGTTTATCTCAAATATAGGGTATTTGTGATGATAAAATAGATTCTATAAAATGTATACAAGAAGTGTCTTTAGGTGGGAATGTCCTTAAGTTAAGTGTCCTTAAGCTTCTGTAAATCTCGGTGGGCTTCCACCTGCAGGTAACCGGTTAGTGAAAACCTGGAACTATGTAACGTAGTTCCAGTGATTTTGACCACTCGGGGGCAGAGAGATTCCAATTTAAACAGCAAGTAAGACTAATACAATGTTGGAAAACAACTGCTTGATTGCACAGCCAACAGAGCAACTTTCACCACCTGATTGTACAGTAAATCCAATATTGCTGCTGTTGTACTCCTGATGTGGTCCCAGTTTGGTCCACCAACCACAGTTATTGGAACAGCGGTCCAATGAACCAATAGATTAAAAAAAAAAATACAGTGGTGTGTTGATTCTTTGTGTGGTCAGTGCTAGGTGCTTCACTTTGACATTGTAGAAAGTATTTTTTTTTTAATTGAAAATATTGCTTGATAGCACTTTAAATATATCAAAAATCCCATATATTATTGAATTGATTTGAATGTTGATTTAAAAAATAAAAAAAACATTGCTTGCTCATCATAGAAAAATGGTGAACATAATACTGCAATACTTGTTTTTTTCCCCTTGGACTTCCTTTCAGATTTTTTTTTCAAATAACACTTTACTGGACATGAGACAATCGAAAAGGAGGAATCAAAAGAGAATGCATCAGGTTGAACTAATGCATTCTGGAAGAATAGCTGAATTTGATCCCATTCAGGTGTCGGCTTCTTATGTGTCTTTAGTGCATTCTGTCCAAACAGCAGAATGGAGAGCATGTGAGAGGTGGCCATTGTGTAATCAATTTGGAATACTCTGCTCATGGCATGGTAAAATGGGGGAATGAGAGAGTGGAATGAAAAGTGTTTTGTTCAATTTCAGCTTGCCAGGACTTACCAAACTGTTGTGTTGGTTGCCTGGTAACTGTATCACGCGGATAGTGCACATAGGAAGACTCCCACCTCTTTTCTTCACTGCTTGTGTCCTTGGTTTCTATAGACGTATGTATATATATATATACATATATATATATATATGTATATATATATATTTATATAATAGTTGTCCATCTATATAATGTGTTTTTTTTCTTCCATATTTCATCCTTTTTTTCATGGGAATTGACTTCACAGAGCCACTCTTGTGACAGGGAACTCGTACATTGACAGCAGGGATGAAAAGCAGGAATAGAGCGAGGTCAGACTTTGCTGAGGGAATATTTCACAAAGCCATCAGTCTCATGTAGAAGGCAGTGTTGGTAGACACCCGCTGCCCCCTTTCTCTGTCTGACCCTCTCCCTCTTGACCAGTGAAACAGCAAAAAGGTGGGACATTGTCACCTGTTGCCTGTGTGTGTGTGTGTGTGTGTGTGTGTGTGTGTGTGTGTGTGTGTGTGTGTGGCTTTCTAACAGAGGATTAGTGCAGCTTTTTATAGTTGTTTTCCCACTTTTTTCCTCTCCAATTTGCTCCATTAGGTGACGTAGAGATGTTGATCGGCGATGAAAGAACTACTTTGTAGTATTATTTTCCTTTTTTAAACACAGCTGGTATATTTGCCTCTCAACTCTGAAGAAAGTACTGTTGATCGCCTGGTGTATGTCGGTCATGCGCAAGATCGGTTTTGAGTCCTTTCAAATCTCACAATTCTTGCAGTCTTTTAAATGACCGATCAAGGTTAACTTGAAAATAGAATTCTCAAATAAATAAATGAGCTTCTTTTTTTAACTGGCTAACATTTTATTCATTGGGGAACTTTGCCTGTGAAAATCTAAATCAAGGTTCATGGGGTCTGTGTGGCGTGAATTGTTTTGTCTGATTTTGTGGGGAATCGAATGTGTCAGGCATTAAGAATAACTATAGAGAAACAGCCAAACTCGTTGCTGATGGTCTCATTTGCTCATGTAGGTCATATAAAGGCATCAGCATTACATTTAGACTGTTTCATAACCAGTTAAAAACTGCTTGTACTTCCTTTGAATTAAGTGTAAATTCACTAAAAGATCACAGGAAATGATCAGTCTCTCTCTTTCACTTCCTCACTCTATCTCTCTTGCACCTTGGCCATCTGTGAAACAGTACTAACAAAACATAATCATCTCCATCAGCCGCTGAAAATTGGCTGTCATGATTTGATGGCTCCCAGATATAAACAAAACAATATGGATGTGAGAGTCAAAAGACTGTCCAGCAGCTGGCTTGTATTTCTTGGCGTTCTTCTGGATTGCTTTCCGCTCCCTCTCTGACAATGAATTTAAACCTATGTACAGTATGTTTTTCAGCCAAAATAGGAAATTATATACATGTTATGTACAGGGAGAGTGATTTATTAATCTGTAATCGAAAAGAAAGTACAATATTTGTTATAACCTGCAGACTCGGCACCTGCGGTTATATTCTCTTTATTCTTCCCCTCTCATTCTTTATCAGGCACTGTCTCCTAGAGCTGTACAGGTTTATCAGGCTCACTGGAGGCATTCCAATAGATCCATCAATTTAGCGAAGCAGTGTGTGTGAAGCATAGGAGTCATTCCCTCGGGATACACACGCAAATACACAGACACGCGTGCGCTAATAGACAATCTATGTTGTTTATTTGTCTTTCTTCTGTGTTTTTACCAGCAGGAAGTCTCTGAGGTGACGCTCTTGTTGTTGGTTATGTTGTCTGTCTTGTGGTTCCCTTTTGTTTTTGCACATGGCTATATGTCGGCCTATATGGTTTTCACTAAGCGGTTCATTGAACCTTCCCATATCATCATATTCCCATAACAGTCCTGTCTGTGCTTCCCCTCTCTGATTACAGTGCTGTCAATCACAACCTAATATGACGGTGCACCAGGGTGTGCATGAGCGCACACACACACACACACACACACAGACCATTACTCTCTGTCTGTCCACATAAAACTGGAGCCATACAGGCATCAGCTGAGAACAAGATAATCAACTGTAAAATGTTCATAAAGTCATTTCCCCCCAAAAATCAAATGAAGCACATCATTCACTAATCAACAACATGATATCTACAGTATGCCCATATCCTTATGGGCCTTGTAAGCTCATTAGAAAGCAACAAGCTTCCTTGCATGATCCACATGATGTGATGCGACTAATTGAAAGGTGCCACACTGTAAGATCTCAATTAGCTGATGAGCTAAATCGGGACATTCTCTTTCAGGGATGAGAAGTGGGAGAGTTTCAGCACTCGTGATTGACATTGACGATAAAGACAATGCTGCTTCTGCATACGCGCGACAGATACAGGCACACTGTTCTTCCCACACTTATCTAATCAGCTGCTTTGTCTTCTGTCTGTTCTTTCTCCTCTCTGTTTTCTGGCGTCTGCCTCTCTTGCTGTCCATCCAACCCCTCTTGTCTACTTGGGTACTTCAGTGATGGCTTCAAAAGGCAAAGCTCGAGGTGAGTCGTGGCTGCATTTCCCTGCTGTGCCTCATACTCCTGACAAAACGCCTTACAAAAGTTGAACAGAATTTACTTTTATCATTTTGCAAAATTTCCGTTTGTTTTCTTTTTATTCCCTTGTTGCTGTTTGCTTATTTCCAGAACTGTCACAGTTTTTGATGAAAGGCAAAAGTGCCGTTTGGTTTTCATACCTTTTTTAAAGTGTTTTAGTAAACACACTAATCAACACTACGCAAACAGTGGAAATCATGACAAATGTTTCACTTTGGGTCAGAATATCTTTTAGAAACGGTAGCACCACTACAGCATGAAGCTCATCTTGTATTCATATATATTTTCTTTCATATTTGCCAGTAAATGATTTAAGCACATAAACTCTGGAGAGCACTGTCCGAGGTCATACGATTAATTATCAGGTATTTAATTGTGTAATATTGCCGGTTACCATTGCCAGGCACCGGAGAGGTGGCAGTAAATTACCATGATCAACATCTTCTCCATCATTCCCTGTCTGCAAGATGGCAATGAGAGCGGATTATAGATCAGAGAGAGTCAGAGAGTCAAAGTGTTTATGTGAGAGGAGATAATCTGATCTCAGTAAATATGCCTCTCAAAACTAAGAGTTTAGTCAACCATGACTATGATCTCATTCTGTTTTGTTACATCTTTGGCTAATGATGATAGAAGCACAGGTCTTGAAGACAGTCACATTCCTGAGCAGAGATGTGATGATGAGTTCAATGAAAGGAGAGAAATCAACTCAGTGTTTATCTTGTGTTTACCAAAAGATTAGTAAAAGGTGGCATTTTTAGTATAGATATAATTTATGTTATGTTATGGAATCTGAGCCAAACGTGAAAAATAAATGTCAACCAATATGAAAACACATGTGCCCAAATTTACGTGTTTGAGTGCAAATAATCCGAATAATAGCCATTGAGATAAAAAAAACAACAACCACCCTGTTGAAACACCTTGATCTTAATCAAGTGGCCCATCTATTAAAAAACAAATCGAATCCAGTCGACAGATAAAATATCGTTGTGTAAATGCTCTTCCAAGTTCTACTTTCTGTTTTCAGAAAAATCTATACTCTTTCTGCGTCTGCTCCTCCGGCGGAGTTAAAAGTGTTCCTGTGGGAAGACGCACTGCACTCTTCAGTTGTTTGTTGTTCATGAGCACTTTTTTTTAAATAAGTGGCGTTTACTATGGAGATTCTAAATCACAGTGGGTAGCTGGCCTGCTGTTTAATAACTTCAGTGGTCTCCTCTGATAAAACTGGTGCTTCTGTACAAATAAGCAGTAAATCCATACTGCATTTCAAGTGCTTGAAGCAAGGTTTGCCATTTTCAAAAGATTGCCCATTGTGGAGTGATAGATTTGGTATATTGCTCACTTCAAGACCCTTTCCTCTCTTCAAAATGCAGTCTCCCCTTTTTCCTCGTCCTCCTCCTCTTCCTTGTCATCATCCTCAGTAGAAGTAATGTCAGTAACAGCATCAACATCACATCTTTCCAGTAACACTCCCCTATGCAGGATTTCCTTGTTTTCCTGCTGTGTCTGAATGCGTAGTTCATTTAAAGCTTCCCTCCGGGCCAGCATCCAGCTGCATGTGCAGTGTTTGTCTGAAAGATCTCCGTCTTATTCAGTGTTGACCCGCCTCTCATTAAAGGCCTTCCCTACCTGACTATCATTCTTTTCTATCTTACTGTGACAGTATAAGAAATCCATTGCTCTCTTAATAGGGGAACAGAGAATGAGTAGTTCAGAGTCGAGCACATGTCTCCCTCCTGCCTCTTTCGATGTTATAATGAGGATATTGGTAGGAAAACATAGCAAGCCAGGTAAGAATTATGCTGATAAGTGGCAAATAAAGGCTCAGTTCACCTCAAAGCACCAGTTCATCAGCGTGTGGCCCTGAGAGAAAGATCTGTATGTGACTGAAGCACTCTGAGTGACTGGTTAAGGGTGCCTTGTGCATATATATATATATATATATATATATATATATATATATATATATATATCACTGTCACTATAATATTTGTATTTCATTGGTTGGAGATCAAGATAAGTTTATTTTAAGAAAATGTGAGAACATAATGGGATCTCTGTCAGTGATGCAAATGAGCATGAAAAACAAACTCATTAAACACAACACACAGATATATGGCACCTGTCCAGGGTGTGTGTGTGTGTGTGTGTGTGTGTGTGTGTGCACACACAGAACACAGTTTCGAGGTAACTATGTCTTGAACCTGAAGCTATGCACTTTCTTAATACTCGTTGTAACTTAGAGCGAGTCTTGTGTTGTTCAAAGTGTGTGTCATACGTAGAGTTCCTGATACAAACTGAAGGTTGTATAGTAAAAATAATATTTCAAATCAGGGGTTTTCAAAGTCTGACACTGTGAGTCCCCCCTCAAACAAAATTGAGTAATGTAATATTAATGTAAAGAATAAATTAATTAGGTAGTTAAGTTTTGGAACCATCATACAATGCTTTGGGGGATGTTAACAAGAAGTACGATGTTCTTCAGCCCCCTCCGTTTAGCTTATATTTATTTATATTTATACTTTAGCCTACATTTTGGCAAATTTGTACTGTCCAAAATGTGCCAAATTAGCTATTAACAATGTGATGATTCTCAGACAAGTTCTAGAGGATTAATGGACCTTTTATTTGTGGACATCGAAGATATTTAGACATAAAAAAATCCTGAGACTAGATCTTCAGTGTCAAGTTTTGGTAAAAGAGCATTACAGTTTGACACACAAGCTAAAATGATAAGAGCTGTTTTTAAAGCTAGCACTTTCTGTTCACTGAATCTTGCAGATCTCCCCTGGGGCGAGAAGTACTTCCCAAGATCACTCTTAGATGAACAGTATCTGTCACTGCATCACCAGACATTAGAAAATCACACTGTGGCAATGTTGATTTGGGGAATTGGAGAGTTTTTGGTGGCAGCAATGATTAGTCTGATTTCCCTCATGAATGCCACTAGTCTGCGATCATCCTGCCCTCACCCCTTATGAAAGCATCAAAACAGAATAAAAACAAGTTAAGCGCATTTTCCCTCCCCATCAGTTTGATGAAATTTGAGAATGTCCTTAGCCACAATAAATATGCTTTCCCTGACCCAGCCTGGTAAAGCCAAATGGTGTTTTCTAAAGTTCTCACATTATCACTATGTATTTGTTTTTTGCATGTCATTTCACACCACGGCAATTTTATGCGCTCGGAGCAAGTCGGGGGGGAGGACGGGGTGGATGGATGGGGTCAAACAAACACATGACTTTAGCCAAGGAGACTGTCAACCGTTGACTTGTTTACGTGGATTACCTCATTTACATACAAATCTTAATTTGCATAACAAACATACTTGTTTCAACTCAAACCATGATCTTTCTAAACCCAAACACGTAGTCTTGGTACATAAACATGGTGTGGTTTTAATTCACAATATTACCCACGTGTTTAAAACGGTGCCGGTTCATACGTACGTGAGGAGTTGGGAATGAGAACAAGGCGTTAAATGACACACAAAAGCTTAATATGCGTAGACATGACACGCAATGTTGTTGAAAGTGGCGTGCTATTTATATGCCTTCTCATGGCATCGCTTTGACTGACCTTGTGCTTTTCTGAAATTGTTTAACAAAAACGACTAAGCCAGCAAGCGTATGTATGACTGCTAATATGGCTTTGCCATATTTAAAGAGGTAATAAAGTGGAATATCTGAGCCTAGATGTACTGTACGTAGCCAAAGCTTAGCCTTCTGTGTCCTTGCCGCTCTGAAAATAGACCAGATGAGACTGGGAATTTGCTTTTTTTTTATGGAAAGGATGAACTGAGAATAACATTTAGTGTATATTGCACTGCTCACTTTCAACCAGAACTGGTGACATTAGTAAGACACAATCCCTACACACTATCTACACATACATGCAGCAATTACAATTATGGTTGTGTACAAAGAGCCAAATACAAGCACACAGAGAAAAGCATCTATACCAGCTTATATTTGTATGCATAAATCAGGGCAGCCTCATGTAAATGCCTGTTTCCCACATGTCTGCTTGACATCACAGAGAGTTTGAGAAACTTGTCCTCTTTGGCTTGAAGGAGGCATTCAAGATGGTATTCATTTTGCACTTGCTTTAGTTGTTTACTGTTGTCCCTCCAGGCTTTTCACTTGTCTGTCAAAATACGTACTTTTGTCCTTGCCATTACTAGGCTTAGCTATCAGCTTCTTCTGCTCTCATTTGCCAGCTGGAAGAAAAGCAGTGTATCAAGTATTTATGAAGGCCAGGTTTACCTCTTTCATAAAACCAGGAGATGTCTGCCCTTGGCTCAGAAAGGATAGTGAGATCCCTGGCCATTCTGGACAGAGCAAGCTTGAACTCAGGCAGCTTGCATGCAGAGAATGGGCAGAGGTTTATATCTCTGCCCTTTCAATTGATGTGGCTGAATCAAGGGCAAGAATAGGCTACTGGGCAAATAATATTGGTGTCTGGAAGCATGTTTTGGTCACTAGAGGTGTAACGGACCACGGTTGATCCGTGATCGACCGTGGTCCGTTACACCGTGTTCACATGTAACCTCGTAAAATATAGTTTTGGTAATACGAACTTGAATAAATCCAGTTGTATGAAGGAGATGTTTTCATAGCAACATAAAATAGATATTACAGATAAATTATGACCTGTTCACACTAGCTCTAAGCTGCTAATAATACATCATTAAAACTACTACTGAAAAGATTAGTTTTTTTAAATCTTTTATTTCCTAATCATTTGAATTGTGTGTTTTCTTTTTGAGGGGAAACAACTCTTAGTAAAGTAAAAGGATAACATTTAGAATGTTTGATGGTTTACAGACTTCAGTGTGGTTGAAATTAATGTGATAAAATGTGATCAGGGATCTCTAAAAGTTATGACCCTGATCCATGATATGATCAGGATCAGGATCAGTATATATATACTGTATATACACT